TTATGATTTAAAAATGAATATATAAGCCTATATATCAATTTTTAAATAACAAATTTGATATATATTTTTTATTAAAAATATTTTTAAAAAGATATAAAAACAGCCTTATTTCATTAAAAATTCTTATATATCGAGTTTTTCGTTGGGGAAGTAGTAACTTAAAACACATTTTCTGATTTTAAGCTTAATAACAATAATAATAAACATATTTACTTATTATAATAAAATAGCAATCTTGTTTTTAAAAAATTTATTATATTAAAGAAAGTAATCGTTCATCTTCTCCTGTAATAAGTTTGATACATTAAACCTAACAGATCTCTTGTAAGTTATTTTCATTTGTAAATTCATGTGTTTAATTAACATGTGCAGCATATATGCATTATATAGTATCTATTCACCTTTAAAATATTAGAAAAATACTATTAATCTTTAAAAGCCAATAAAATAGATATCTAAAGTTTAAATAAGCTTTAAAGATTCAATCCGACCCCACTCGAGATATGAAATTTAACATCTCTTCTATTCCTCATCCTCTTGACCTTTAACCACCAAAATTTAATAGCATTAATTCTCCTAATATACAAACTTCCCTGCAAAATTTCAGAAATTTTCGACAAAAATCATGGACGTTAATAAGCTTCAAAGACGATGAACAAAATCGTGTCCCACATACATTAACATCCATACATACAGAGAAACACCGAAATTTTTTCGTTTCTCGACGTTTCAAAGTCACGAGTCAAAAAATGTAAAAATCTTGGGGGACGGTCATTTTTTGACCGATTCAATAGGACCTACATATCTTACGATCCCAACAGCCGAGAAAAGAAAAGAAATTAACTAATAAATGATACAATATAAACAGATAATTATTAAACGGAGTAAAAATAAGATAATGCCATCCATCCACTTTTGACTAACAATGATCCGATGACCGAGCATTTAAAGCTACTTCGATTACCCTGGATCTAATCCAAGCAGTAGCATAGCGTGCTATTGAAGATGTAAAAGATATATCTTTACCCTGAAAATATTGTAGTTTAAACCAATTATTAACGTGATACACTTATTAATATTACCTGTCCATAGTCCACGGATTTGTTGTAAAAAGTTCTAGTAAGATTATAATTGAGTAACTTGCCACTTTGTTGCATATTTTAAAAGCTCCTCATTACCAATGTGATTAGTGCATGTCAATGGGCTAGTCTAAGTTATCCTCACCACTTGTCCAACCCCAATGTGGGCTTTCCGAAATTTTTAAGGACCTGAGGGCACTAACATCCATATCTATCATAGTTGGATATGATGGGTATGAATAAAAGCCCTCTTTTTGCCCTCAGACTCACAAAAATAAAAAAATAAAAATTGTTATAAAGTTTAAAATTTGTAAAGTATCTAAAATTAATATTTTTACTTTATTTTGTTTATTTATATTTTTGTAAAGTTATAAAATAAAAAAATAAGTAAATAAATATTATTGCTTCATTTTAATATAGCAGAATAGAAAATATTTTATATATAAATAATACATTGATTTTTTCATTCGTAATGCTATTAAAATAATTTAATACAAAGAAAAATGATTTTGATTTGTATACAGTAGACCCCCTATAACACTGAAGATAATTCCGTGTTATATGAATTCCGTGTTGTACGAGTCGCTTAGATCTTACAAATACGTGTGCCGGGCTATGAACGGCTCACGTATTTGTAAAATCTAAGTGATTCGTGCAACACGGAATTATCTACAGTGTTATAGGGGGGTCTACTGGTATTTTTTAATGAAATTTTTTATGTATTTTGTCTGAATAACACTTATTTTTATACGAATATTACGCATTATACTGTATTACTTTTTTATACGAAAACATTTCACGAGAATACAATGAAAAAAATAATAATAGCATTTTTTTCTTCAGCATATTTTCAAGCTTATTTTATTCTGTTATGAAAAATGATTATCATAAATGAATAAAATTTAAATGGCAGAAAAATATAGGCCTATTAATATAATCTTTGCCATTTTATAAAAGAATATCAAATTTCATTAAAAATTCTTATATATCGAATTTCGATAAATGTAAAATTCCAATTTTTCAGTTAATAGAGTAAAATCTAAATTTCATAATTTTCATTATTATTTCGATATTGTTTTTATAAGAAGAAATGAGATTCTTTAAATTGAGATTTTTTTATATTAAAAAAAATTTAGAAACATATTTGTAACATAAAGTAAAATAACTTTAAAAATTCAAAACTGTTGAGTTTATATTAGATTGTTTTATACATCTTTGTTAATGCAATCAGTTATCTGAGATGCATTTTTTTTTGTTAGAAAAATGTACAATATATTAGTATGTGAATATTACGACATTTTATTCTATTACACTACAAAAAATAATAGCGAGGTTGCGGCCGAAGTTTTCATCTCTAAAACGTTCACGTTTTAGAGATGAAAACTTCGGCCGCAACCTCACTATTATAAAATTAATTTCAATAATATCAAATAAAAAGAAAAGAAAGAAATCAATGTGGGAAACGTCATAAAAATGTCATTATATACAGTATAGTTTCGAGCAATTCGTATGCTAATTTTAAGCAATGAATAATTAACGTGCACTTACTAAATTTTGGCATTTCAATATTCCAACTTTTTTTCTTTCTCCCCATTCCTTCGTTGTCTAAAAGATAATCTGAAAACATTTTATGATATTAAATTACTTTTTTAACTAATGTACATTAATGTACATTACTGTACAGTACATTAATATTAATAATGTACATTAATGTACATTACTGTACAGTACATTAATATTAATAATGTACATCAATGTACTATTATGTATTAATGTACATTAATGTATTAATTACATTATGTATTAATAGATTAATGTACATTAAAATTAATACATAATGTACATTAATGTACATTAATAGGAACTGTACATTATTTATTTTTAACTATAATTTAGTATATATTAATTTTTAAAATCATAATTTATCTATTTTAAATAATTTCAATTAATTTAAAAAATTTCTTGGATAAAGTATTCATTATTGCATGCATTATTCTTCGTTAATTGGTATCACTTACATTACAAATGAAGCAATAAATCGAACATATTTTCCTTTGTTTAAGATAATTGGTTATTTTAGCTATGCTTAAAATTTTTTTACCTTTTTTTTAAATCACGTAATTAATTAATTTATAATAGAAAACAATGATTTTTTTAAAAAATATATAAACTGTATTTTATAATTCAAAAATTGGTGGAAATTTAAAGGACCTGAATAGAGAATTTATGAAAAAAGTGCTTGGAAGAATAAAGTTGGTGGAAGACGTTCGGGAATGATGGGAGTTTAATAGTCCTATTATAAGGAAAGATGGAGAGGAAGTATTGGAGAAAACATTGGGAAAGGGCAACCCTATGGAAAAGAGGCTTGTAGTAGAACTAGGAAGTGCAATCTGCATAAAAGAAATGAAGGAAATAAAGAAAAGATGAGGATAGGTAACTGCAAAAGCGAGGGCCGAAGCATCAAAGTATTTCACATCAATGAAACAGATAAAACATGAGAATGGTACTGTTACAAAACCAAGAGAAGATAAAGGAAAGATGGAAGAATTATTTTAGGAAGTTACTAAATAAGGAAAATCTTAGAGCACTATTCGAGGAGGTAAATGAAGAGTGGCAGCAGATGTAAGCAAGAAGGAAGTGGAAAGGGCACTTAGAAAAATAAAGAATGGGAAAGCAACAGGAACTGATCAGATCCCAGCTGAGATATGGAGATATTTAGGCGAAGAGGGTGTTGATATTGTATGGGATCTTATGAAAAAGCTGTGGAAGCAAAAGAGGATACCAGATGAATGGAGAAAAAATATTTTGATGTTAATTTATAAAGGAAAAGGAGAGGAATGTGGAAATATGGAAACTACAGAAGAATTAAATTGATGTCACACTCAATGAAGATCTGGGAGAGAATTGTGGAAGGAAGGTTAGTTAAGTAAAGTAAGTTAGGTTAGGTTAGGTTTAGGTCATTTATGTATATTGTCTCAGCAGAGCAGAGACAATATATATGGCATCTAGTGGAGAGGATCAGAGGCAAGAGACAGCTATAGGTGAGGAACAGTTTAGTTTCGTGTCGGAAAGAGGAACAACAGATGCGATCTTAGAGCAAAGACCGGAAAGGTACAGAGTACAGTAATATCTCGACTTAAGCTATCCCGACTTACGCGAACCCGGAGTTACGCGATTTTTCAAATCTCGTCGATTCGTCTTTTGTTTGAGCGCCACTCAACTCTTGATTACTCACTCCCCCCACACCTATTGCTCGGCTTACATGTTCGGACGTGTCGCGCGGAATCGACACATAGCTACAATTTATTTTGTATTATTTATTTCTGTGTATTATACAAAACCACGGTAAGATCTGCAATGATGTACTGTACATGGCAATTACAAGAGCCTAGGAAAAGAAGATGAAGACAGCTGAGATGAGAATGCTGAAATGGATGTGTGATGTGACAAAGGACAGAATTAGGAATGATTATACTGTATAAGAGGAACAGTCAAGGTGGGTCCTATAAGTAAGAAGATGCAGGTAGATTAAGATGGTATGGACATGTGGAGGGAAAAAATGTGGCCTATATTGGAACGATAGACTAAATGAAATGCTGGGAAGTTGGAAGTGATAAGGAGGAGGAAGCGGGGAAGACCAAAGCTGAGATGAAGAGATAAGATGAAAGAGGATTTGGGAGAGAGACGGATGGAGGAGAGGACGCTCTGGATAGAAAGAAGTGGAGAAGACAGATTAAAGATGGGAATGAAAAAGCACAGAAAGAAAAATATTGTGTTTTATAATTCAATATTAATTTTAATTTAATTTACTGTATATACACTGAAAATTTATAGATAAAAATCTTTCTTACCGGTCATTTTCTAAATGATTGAAGTTTGAAAATTCAATAAATACAATAATTTATTAGAATACCTTCTCAACCTTCTTACATTGAAAATATAACGATTCAAGATAAAGCGGAAACAAATTTTGTCATTAAAAGCATTACTTTGCAAATAACTTATGAGTCATTTTGTGGAAATAATGTACAGATACTATATTTAATAAATTTTGAATATCATTTATTATTCTTTTTAACCGATGACAATTTCAGCTTTCAATTTTACAAAATATATAAATGTAAAATTTAATTACGGTAATTAAATTTAATTTAATTGACTATAACTAATTAACATAACGAGATTAAAATTCAATAAAATTATACAGATACAAAAAGATCTCATTAAGATTTTATAGTAACAACAAATATGACGTTACTAATAAGAAAAGAAGTCGACTATGAACCACTAGTTACAGTAGCTCATTAATCCTAAATTAGCTGCGTAACAGCAGCTGTTCACTTTATGCAGGTTACGTTAAGCAATTGGTTCCCAAAGTTTTTCGTTTCCGCGTTAAGCAGGTTTTCGGTTTATAATGGTATTTTACATAAATCGTTTCGTTTTAGCTAGGTTTTACTGTATAAACAATTATAGAGTTAGCGCACGACGTATTTTATGTTACATTTACCATACGTTATAATTATAAACATGTAAAGTTAGATGACACTTGGGCATTCAAGCCCGTTATGTCTCAAAAATATAACAAACATTTTAAAAAATATTAGCCTTTGTTTAATATAAGTTGTACGTTAGCCATATAACAAATTCTTTCTAAATAAACAGAAAGTAAAAGAAAATAAAGAGTAAAGGCAAGGTGTTAAGTAAATTGTCTACTGTATATGATACATTATGAAAAATAATAACTGTAAAATTGTATAATTGGTTACTAGCTTGTATGATTACATTATGATTCTCATTACAGATACTTATTATTTTTTTTATCAATTTTGTAAATTAATTTAAAATTTGGAAATAGGCCATATTCCAGGAAATTTCGAACGTCATGATCTTACAACATAAACTAGATTGTTATCGTCACGAAAACACAAATAATTTGTGTAAATTTTTTAATACGCTCATTACACAACTTAACGAAATGCATAAAATACAGTTTAAAACAGTCAGCAGTAAATATAAATGCATTCTCATGATGCAACACTCAAAAAAGAAAGAAAATTAGAATATGACTAAACACCATAAAGAATGAAATTCCTGATTTAATTAACAGGCAAGAAGAAATGAATACACATATGAAGATGAAGGAGAGTGTTATTTTGATTCCAAATACCCACAAATATTACAATTATCCGATTCGGATGGGTAACGGATATATATGTCTGTTCCATAGTGTTCTATGAAGATACTATGTAACCTTTGTGGTTAAAACGATTACTACGTAAAGTAATCTACGAAGATACATATAGGGGAGATCTTTGTACCTTAGGACACCTTGTACTTCGGGACAAGCTCGTCATTTGAAAAATAATATATTGAGAAGTAGTAAGTAGCGATATCTAGTAGCTATTTCATTACAACATTCAGAATGCATGAGGTAAAGTCGGCCATTTTGACTCGTTTCATAGCTGTGACACGTCGTATGATTTTTATAGGTGTTTGTTTTTTTGCAATCCATTTGGATCTTGGTTTTAATCGAAATATTTTGAGATGAGTAATTTAATTCAGGTATAGTTAGTTGATAATTACATTCGTAACCACTTATTTTAATAAATAACATTGGATTTCTGTAATTCAAAAATTATATACATACTTTGTTATAAACAAGAGAAAATTATACCTTGGGACAGTGAATTTTTTGTACCTTGGGCAGTCCCAAGGTACAAGGCATTGCATTTCTCAGCTATTTATTTAATATTATTATGTTTCTGTTGGCCGTGAAGAAAAAGAATGAAGTGAATAAAAATGCTAAATCTGTTAAAAAGCGAGATTTTAAGAATAAAAAAAGTTGAAGTTAGTAGCTCTGAGGATGAAACTTCTGTGATCTTAGAGAGTAATGAAGTTCAAGAGGAAAATAATTGTGTGGGGTGCGGTGAAAATTATTTACTACTTAGAGCTCAGAAGACTGGATTCAATGCGTTACCTGTCCATTCTGGGTGCACGAAGATTGCACCTTTTTTGAAAATTACTGTCAAAAATGCAGTATTAATTCTAAAATAATTAGTAAGTAGTAATGTTTGTGACCTATATTTGTAATGACTATTGTTTTCCTTAATATAAAAATGAGATTATCTTTGATTTTCAATCATTTAAATGCCTTCTACAGAACATTTAAGCTTTATACTTACCTGCATTTCCAGCACATGAAACATTTTTGTTAACTGATAAAGCTAATATTGTTATAAAGGAAAAGACTTGGATAAACTATTTTTTTTTTCTTCTGGCGGAAGATAAGATTTACAAAAACGTTAGGATTGTTCGTGTCCCAAGGTACAAACATTGGTGTCCCGAGGTACAATCCATGATTGTACCTTGGGACAAATATCTACAAGTAATTATTTGACATTTTCTCATAAATAAAATAGCATAGGGTCAAGTGTTGCACCATATATAGTGATGTTATCAATTACTAATAGAAATAGTCAATAGTCATAGCTAAAGATCAATTTGAACTTAAATTATGAAGGTTTAAAGAAAAGTGTCCCAAAGTAGAAGGATCTCCCCTACATACGAGGGTTGTTCATAAAGTTCCCGAACTTTATTTATTACAAAAAAAATACTTC